ACATGTCCTAGCTGCGAATTGAGGACCATCCAGTGAACTTCTTTCGTCGCACCAATTCACGTTCGTAATCGGAACGACATGCTAGTCCTATGTACGGTTCCTCCACCTCATGTTTCGATTGGTTATCAAGTGGTTTCCTCGGCGAGCATTTAGAACTTCATCGCACGACACGATGTTGAAGAAATAGGTCTTTGCTTCTTGCATGCCATCCCTCCATCGGACGAGACAGCATCGGAAATGCCACCGAATCCACGAATTGTAGGGCTTCTTGACTCCTTCGGCGACTTTTGAAGCCCCCGCAGGAATTGTACCGGATCGGCCTATCCGACACAAGATCATCCTTGAGGACGGGGCAGTACGTTCGCGCGATTGTATCTACTGCAGAAGCGAGGGGGAACTTGAGGTGCTTCGTACGCAACTCGACGTCCTCATTGCAAAGGGCTGGATTCGCCCTAGGCCCCTAGCTGCTTGCCTTACGGTGCACCCGTTCTCTTCGTCCAGAAGAAGACCAAGGACTCGCGGCTATGTATTGACTTCTGTAAGCTTAACACGCAAACCGCTAAGAATCCAGGCCCGCTCCCGCGCATGGATGATCTTTCCGATTTGCGCGTTAAGCTTGTGGAAGCGGGCCACGTACTTCTCGAAGTTGAACCTCAAATTCAGTTATCACCAAATCGAGATCCATCCGTGAGATCGGTACAAGACCACGTTCAAGATACAGTATGGGCACTTCGAGTGGGTCGTAACGCCATGCGGACTCACGAATGCCCCGGCTACTTTCCAAGCGGCAATGACGATGGAGTTATGCGACATGTTGGATCGGTTCGTGCTCATCTACCTCTACAACATCTTGGTTTATAATCGGACCTTGAAAGATTACCTCGCGCATCTACGCACCGTTTTGGAGAGGTTGTATAAGGCCAAGTGCAATGCCAACCGATCCAAGTTGGAGTTCGCCCAACAAGAGCTCGAATACTTGGGTCACTTTGTGATGCCACAAGGCATTGCCGACAAAATTCAGGCCATCCAAGATTGGTCGGAACCCACCAGCACCACGGAGGTTCGCTCCTTCATGGGATTGGTCGGGTACTATCAACGCTTCATCGGCGGATACGCACGGATCGCCGCACCTTTGTCCCAACTTCAGTCTCTGAAGGTGCCCTTCCACGTCACCAACGAAGTCCGGAGTTCGTTCCACAAGCTTACGACGACGATGATCATGGCTCCCGTTTTGAGTATCTACGACCCCACCTTGCCTACAAGAGTGACTAAAGACGCTTTTGACTACAACATTGGTGCAGTCTTGGAACAACACGACGACGTAGATTGGCACCCAGTTAAATACTTCAACCAAAAGGCGCCCCCCGTCAACTCGCTTGATGATGCAAGGAAGGAGTTGTTGGCCTTCGTCACAATACTAAAATACTGGCGACACTTTCTCCTCGAAAGTCGTAGGTTCACTTGGGTAATGAACAACAATCCATTGACCTACTACAAGACGCAAGACACGGTGAGTAGCACGATCGAAAGATGGATGTAATCCATTGACCAATTCAACTTCACGCTGAAGCATATCCCGAGTCTCTCCAATCGAACGACAGATGCACTTCTTTGCGAAAAGCCGATTTCTGTGTATTGATCCTCTACACCTTCGACTTCGACGAAGACCTACGTCAACATTTCGTACGTGCATACAAGACAGATTCGGACGATTCCACTCTCTACGAGCAGCTTGCTTCGGACCACCCGCCGACTAGCCACCTCCGCATTGTCGACGAGTATTTCCTTCTCCATTCGTCTAGCAAGACTTCTATGCGTCCCACAAGACCGTCGATTACGTACTCACCTCCTTGGTGAGTACCACGATTCGTGGCTTGCCAAACACTTCGAACGATTTCGATGGTCCGACGTCACACGGTATTGCGAATCTTGTGAGGTTTGTCGACGCAACAAGCCCCGCAACCCCAACCCGTATGGCGAGTTGCGCTCGTTGTCAATCCCTCGGGAACCCGGATTGTCCATTGCCATGAACGTCATCGGGCCCTTGTCACGAGATCGCCTTGGGCACGACGATATCCTCACGGTCGTTGATCGACTAAGTAAGTACGCACGGTTTCTTCCTTGCAAGTATCATGCGACGGCTCCCGAGCTCGTGAGACTCTTGCACACCGGCTGGATTTGCTGTCATAGGGTTCCGGAAGACATGGTTAGCGACCACGATACTCTCTTCATGCTGGCATTTTGGACATCGCTCATGAAGGAATCCAGCACCGAAATGAAACCGAGTTCAGCTCGACGCCCACAAATGAACAGGCAAACAGAGCGGGCATATCAAACCGCTCAAACGATGTTTCGTACGCTAATCTGTCCGGACCAAAAGACTGGGTTGACCGCCTCGCCGACGTTGAATTCGCCTACAACACTTCATTGCATCTAGCGATTGGAATGACTCCCTTTGAGTTGCACCGTGGTGGTCGAAAAGGTCGTATCTTCGCAGATCTTCTATTCCCTCGGGCAGCCGACATTAACGCGCCTTGCTCTCCCGCCTTCGTTCGGAAGTACCGGGACTTGCTGGCCAAAGCCTGCGCAAACATGCAAAAGGCGGCAAGCTAATCGACATCGCATGCCATGTCCCATTCGCGCTGACGAACTGGTGTGGGTTTCCTTCGAGGAGTTCGCACTTGAACAAGATGTCTCGCACAGGTTCCTCCCCAAGTGGTTTGGACCATGGACCGTCACATCAGCAGTGGGCAACAAGCCCGATGGCCCATCATTTCTCGTTGATGCACCCCAAGAAGTCGATTGGGTCGTCATGGACCCCAATTATGGCAATAAGCCAATGCAGTACAAGGTCACCTTCAAACAACGCGACCACGACGACACACAATGGATTTCACGAGCAGACTTGCAAGCTTCGGCACCGCTTATCTTTGCAAATTACGAGAAGCAACGACCAGCCAAGGAGGCTTCACAACCTGCCCCTCCCACCCGGACTTCGGTCCCGCCCTCTCATAGACAGCTCCGCCCTCGTAGGTAGGCTCCGTCTTTCAAGGAGCGGGGGGAGGTGGCATACTTAGTTCCACACGAGCCCTGTAGGGCCCGACAGTAGGGTTAGGGGTTTCGTAGGGTTTAGGGTCTGTGTCACCCGTAGGACCCAGTAGGCCACTATCTAGTTTTGCCATCTTCTCACCATGTTCCTTCTTTTGGCATTGACCAGACCTCTACATTTTGGCGCCAGGCTTTTCGTATTTCCTGGTTCCTACCTTTGGCATTAGCCAGATCTTTGCCATTTGAGTGTGAAACTATTCATATTTTCGCATGGCGCCTACTTTTTGCCATTTGCGCCAGAACAAACTTTTGTTCTTAGCGCCGGACCAGTTTTCCTTTCGGCCTAGGACACTAGGCCCAACATTTTTATAGTTGGGTCGACCTCATTTCTTGGCATGTAGTTCGAAGTAGTTTTCGAAGGCAGCTTTGAGACAGTAGCGAGTACTCTTCAGTAGTCGATGCGCTGGGCGCAATTAGAGTAGTCTATAACGTTGGGTGTAGTTAGAGTAGTTTACAGCACTGGGTGTTGTCGGGCGCATCGGTCCGACACTACTCAAGGGCAGCGCGGGACCCTCCCGGCCGCGTCAAGCAGGAGTTGGACTCTAATCCTCGTCGCGATACATACATGGAGCTTCCGCAAAGCCGCTCCGGCCGAGTGCGCCAGCCATACCTCTCGCGAGCCCCTACGACAGGATAGGGCCTACGCGAGGCACGACTTACCTCCACCTTACGAGAGTT